TTTTCATCACCATTCCACATCTTTATGGCATGACATAATTGTTTTTGTAGTCTTCAGAACAGGTTCACTATAGAAGTGAAACAATGTAGCATCAAAAGGTCTGACAAAATGCTTTGAAAGAGAGAAATGTTACTACTACCAAAGGCATTGCATGTTCTTTTCAATTCTTAAGTATAAAACTGTCACAAGTACTTAAACAGTTTTGTACACTGTGTATAGAAGTGTGGCTAAGCTAAAATCCCTTCACATTGCAAGTACTGCTCTTTTCAATTCTTGAATTATAAAACTGTCACAAGTGCTTAAACAGTTTTGTATGCTGTGTATAGAAATGTAGCTAAGTTAAAATCCTAGAAAATTATAAATAAATATGTATAGGGTTCAAAGTACCTAGTCATGGAAGATGGCAGTAGCTGACCTCACTCCCTTTCTTTTCACTTCCGTTCAGCCTCTACAGTAGCCCTGAAAATAATCCTTGCAGAGTCAAGGGAAATTGATTGCACATGGGAAGAAACAGAGAAAGATAGTTTTTTTCCCCCTCTGCTCACCAATGACATCATCTGATTTTCAGTAAGTTTTCCCTTCTTCTCAGTCCCCTGCACCACAGCACATCCTACTAAAGTGTCAAGTAGACTGAACAATAAGAGAACGTGAAGGAATGATTCTGAATTTAAAGGATTAACACTCTGAGACAGGATGATTTAGGCACTTAATCATTAGCAATTTCTGTAGTATTTTGTAATAAAAAATAGCTACTAGAGCCTTAGAGAACATAAAATAGTGTTGTACTTAAATTTAAAACACCTGGAAACAAATTTGTCTAATGTAACACTTCTGACATTATATGCCTCTCAGAGTCAGGATGGAGCTGGGCAGCTAATATATTTAATAAAATATTTATTGCTATATTAAATTTGGAAAACAAAAATAAAATATTTGCAACTTTTTCAAAGCAACTGCTAGAGATATGTAAACCATTTTAAGCTTCAAGCACAAGTTGTGAGTTTTTCAAGTTGACATTTCCTTGTTCAAAGTTTTGTCTTGACCTCTGAACAAAACATATTGGTTTCATTCCACATTCAAAGACAAAATAGAGCCATTTCTGTTGCTTTGAATGTTCAGTGAGGCTTGAGTCCTATGACTGGCTTGCTTTTTTAACATTTTTATCTAGAATAGCCATGAAGTTGCAAGGACCAGTCCTATTTCTGTTGCCATTGGTTGAGATAATGTGAGGCGAGAAGTGGGACAGGAAGAAACAGAAATCAGTTAAGCGTGCACCCAGAAATAGATACTGCTGTTGCTGTATCTGACACAAATTTGTTTCACTTAAAGAGGATGTTGATCTGCATTTAGAAACAATTCTGGATGGCTGATTCAAAATGAGGAAAACTGCTCCCAGTAGCCTAGTAAGTAGAAGTAAAAGCTTTACATATATTTATTCATTTATTTGATTCATACTCCATCTTTCATCAGCAGCTCAAGATGGTGTACTTAGTGCTTCCTCCTCCCATTTCTCACAACAATAACCCTGTGAGATAGGCTAGGTTGAGAAAGTTTGGCCAAAGTCACTCAGTCAGCTTCCATGGCTGAAGGTGGGCTTAGTTGATTACGCCACACTACCAGAGATTACTGACTTCTGATCAGATAAAGAAAGGACATCTACAATTCACCAAATGTATTTTACTAACAAAGGAGAGATAAAAGTGAATCAAATAGCTCTACAGCAGGATTAATGCAGGAAAACACATCATATCATTTCATCATTACTCATTCTGCACTGACAGATGTGCTTAGTAAGTGGAATATTACAATGTCTTTCCTCAAATAAGAATGATGGCAAAATATTGAATCAGACCACTGTAAAAATTCTCTGCTGGTACATACTTATCAGAGAGATTAGAAAAATCAGTTTAGACTGGGCAATGAATAAGTCCTAGCTAGAGATTCAATTATGACCAAATCAGAGTCCAAATTCACTGATGCCTTACATACATACTGAGGAATGGAAAAAATTTAGACCAAACCATTTCTGGGGGTCAGAAATTCTGATAGGCACAGATCCAGGCACTACGTAACAGTTGAGCCACTTTTGTCCTGAGCATTTTGTATGGCAAATGACTCTGAGATGCCTAAAAAGATAGCCTGCTCACTATGTATTTATTGTCCACTTATGTTTGGCTGGTCTCTTTCCTGGTAGGTATATTCACAGCTTTTTTAAAAACAAAAAATTGCTATGGAAAAATAATTTTTAAAAATGATTAGTGTTGGTATGTCTTGTGCTTCACTGTTTTGTTGTTTTGACACAATTTAGCTGACCTTGATCTTGAAAAGATTGGACCTAACTTTTCATTGAAAATCAACAATAAAACAATTACATTTTAAACCATATTTTTAATAGAAGGGACAAGCTTGCTTAATTTTGGAAAATTTCTGAAATTTGGGTTTAATTTTTGAGACACATTTTTTGTTCTAAATCTATTTGGGATTGGTATTTGTACTTTATAGCAGCAACTGAGTTCAATGTTGGCTTGTTTAGGAAGAGCAGAAGTGAGTTCTGACAGAGATTCAGCCACGAAGCTTGTCATGAAAAGCTGTAGCCCTATCAGAATCTGCTCCAAGCTCTGCTTTCCACTTTGGATAACTAGCCGCTGGTTTGTCCAGGTGAGCAGGAACAGCAGCAGCTTTGTCTAGAACCTTGTCAGACTGTACTCTGGGCTTTTCCTCCTGCTTTGCTTGGACTAGCTGATAACTGGCTTGTGTAGGCAGAACAGAAGTGGTTCTGGTAGCAATCCTACTTTGCATGTACATCATTCCCCCCAAATTTGTGATTCCCTTGAAATTTGCTTGTGAGCCCACATGACCCACAATTTGAGAATACTTGCATTAGGCACATACAAAAGTGCATGCTGTGTACTGTGCATTACCCACGTGTTACTAATGTTTAAAAAAAAAAAATCCCCTCTCACCCCTATGGGTAGTATATGTCTTCCTCAATCTCCGGTCCTCTACCAGAGGCCTGGGAGTTTGAGGGTTCTGTGCAGTATCTTAGCTGTTCCTAGTTCTGCACTCTTCTGGACAGAGAGCTCTGATGTTGTTCCTGAAACTTGTTGGAGCCGCCCTCCCCGCTTAGAAGTCCCAGCCCCGACTGCCCCTACCACCACCACTGGGACCACTTTGGCCTTTACTTTCCACATCATCTCTAGTTCCTCCTTCAGTTCCTGGTACTTCTGTTCTTCCTGATGTTGCTGTCACTTGGCACTGCTACATCTATCATGACCACTGTCTTCTGGTCCTTGTCTACTACCACAATGTCTGGTTGATTGGCCAATACCTGTCTGTCCATCTGGATCTGGAAGTCCCACAACCTTCTGTGGAATCTCCCATCGGAACCTGGGAGGATCTAGCCCATACACTGTGCAGATGTTCCAATACACAATGCCACCTACTTGGTTGTGCTGTTCCTGCCTGCATCTTACACCCTGCCACTATGTGTTGGACTATCTCTGAGGCCTCTCTGCACAGTCTGCACCTTGGGTCCTGTCTAGTGTGATAGACCCCTGCTTCTATGAATCTAGTGCTTAGTGCCTGTTCTTGTGCTGCCATAACCAGTGCCTCAATGCTGTCTTTTAGTCAGCCCTTTCCAGCCACTGGTAAGATTTCCCAATGTCAACCACCACAGCTATCTATCAGTAGTACATCCCATGCAGGGTATTGTCTTGCCATGGCATTTCTTCTGCTTGAACTTCCTCCTATGTCTGCTGTTACCTTAGTCATTCTCTCAGCAGCTCATCTTTGGGTGCCATGTTACTGATGTACTCCTGGATGCTTTGACTCCTAGAGCGTTGACACTCACCAGACCCTGCCCGCCCTCTTTCTGGATGGTATAGTCTCTGGGTGTTGGACTTGGGGTGGAAACCTCCATACATTGTGAGGAGTTCTGGGTCTTCACATTAGCAGCCTCCATGTCCTCCTTCGGCCAGCTCACTATACCCACAGGGTATCTGATGACTGGCAGTATGTCTGCTGTGTGGTCCGCTGGTAGTTCCATCCCATCAGTCGTAACTATTTTCCCTCTCTTTACTACCATCTGGCCATACTTCTCCAGTTCAAATGACATCCCAATGTCTTCATTGTAGATCCACGTCAGGTGGATCAGCGAGTCAATGTCTTGTTCACACTTAGTATACAGCTTGATGTCATCCATGTAGAGGAGATGGCTGATGGTAGTTCCCAATGAACTTTAAGCCCTAAAGTAATAGTATCTCTCTCATTTGTTTGTTGCTGAATATTGCTGTTAGGTTACCAGATGCACAAGTGTACAATGTGCTTGTGTGTTTGGAAAACAGAAGCCAAACCAAGAAGCTAAGCTTCTGCAGCTATCTGTGCAGGCAGAATGGGGAAAAAAGCATATCCTAAATTGTTGCTTCCATTATTTCTTATGGAGATTTAAACCCTTCTTTTAAAAAAATACTCTTTGACCAACTTTGCTATGGGTTGGGGAGCAGGTAGCAGTCCGGATAGGCTGCTATCTACATACATTTGTAGTCCTCAACTGAAAAGTGAGGGATCAGCTTGTTCCAGGTTTCCACTGTTCGTGTATGATATAGCAATCAAACTATTAAGAGTTACGTTTTATGCAGAACACTCAAGGTATGCTACGTTTTGTTCCACTGGAAAACAAACCAACCTGGAATAGGTTGGTTTGTCACCAGCCCAAAACAAAACTTTATTAATAGTTTATGCATACCAGCAAAAACTGTTTTGCAAAAATTGCCAAAGATCATCATGCAGACATAGTAGACTGTTCATAATTACCTTTTTAATCTTCTTAGCCTCAAAGCAAATATAGAAATTCATAATTCCTAAAAATATTTTACCCAAATTATAGATCAGTAAATTGAATGCAGCAGAAAAATCTGTGGTAATAAATCTGTGATCAATTCAATTGTTCAAAAAGAAAGGGATATTAGTTTAACCAAAAGAAAGAACACTTGGAATAAACAAACTCTTTCTCAATTTGTGCTAGATCTGTAATGTAGTAGATCTTTAATAGTGATCTATTAAACAATACTTTTCTACTCAGAAACTAACCAAACATATATACTCATACATATTTTACTGGAACTAGAGTCCACCAGAATACAAGTCTCTTTTTATTAATGGCACATATGGTTCAGCTCAGTGAATTGCTCAGTGTGCAAATTCAAATATGAGTCATTTGCACCACCTAGCTGACACAGATACAAGTACTGTGTACCTATCTTACATTCATTTTCAACTTCAAATTTATTGTATCCATCAAGTAAAAAGTAATCCTCTGTAACTTTTTACCAACTTCATGATTTATCCCAATAATATTCAATCCAAAACAACCTAGCTTCAATACAAATTTGTGAAAAGCAAGCCACTCCAAAAAAAAAAAAGTTAAGTATAATCCATAAGTTGTATAGTTGTTCCAACTGCATTTCTGTTAAGCATATGGGACATTGTTAAAATACCTTATTTTAGAAATTCCTCAATCTAATTAAAAAAATATTTTGGCTAAATATTCCGAGGCTTAAAAAAAAAACAGTATCATTTTTAAAACACTCAGGTACTTACAGGAGCCTTCAAGCTACAAGGTTGTCACCCTCATTATTTACATAGTAAGTAGCATAAAGTAAAATAATTCAGTTTTGTGGTTTGGAAGGAATGATTTATTGATTTAAAATTAAGGCTTTCTGAATAATTATTATTCACTGTATATACCGAACAGTTTTGGAAGTGTCTGGTGCTTTCTTGTTATTCTACTGCAAAAAAAGCAGAATAAAGTAATCGTTGCTCTATAAAATTGCTACCTGTGTCTGAGCATACCTTTATAGCTCTGCAGCTAGTAATGTAAAGGGACAAATATGACTGGTTAAAAACCAAAAGTAAAAAGGCACCTCCAAATTAAATGCAACTTCAAGCAAATTATATTTGAAAAGCTGTACTTTGCTTCTAGATGTGAATGGAAGAATTTGATAGAACTACAGATAACAATGCTTATCAGCCCAAACCAAAATATTTACACCAGATTTCAGTTTCTTCAAATATTTAGAAAATTAATTTAAAAAATATTTCCATGAACATATCTTCTGAATGATGGCTCTGAAGTTAATGAAGAATATATTGTTGCCTTTGATGCAATGTTTGGTCCACAGGAAAACATCAGGATTTAATGTTCAATTAAAAGCATCTTTAATGTAATTTTTCTCAAATCCTGTGATATAAAATGCTGAAGACAAAAGAAAATGGAACGGATCTGAGAACCAGAATGTTAAGCATTTTTCCCAACATACCAAATTGTGCAGTCAGAATTGTTTTCAATGACTTTATTTTAAATTTTGTACATAAAGAAAACCTGTCCATATCCATCATGAACAAAACTTAAAAAGGCATAACTGGAAGATATTTGTGTCCTTCATCAAAGCAAATGCTATGCTAAAGGTCCAAACATTTTCATTCTTCAAAATAAATATTCTTTCTCTCTCTCTCTCTCGCCTCCCCACCCCACTTTGCCCCTTTCCCCCTTCCCTTCCCAGCATCTATATTTCAGGCTTCGGAAAACCACTGGAAATGGAACCCTATCTTGAAATCAGACTTCTAAGCAGAGTTCTAGCTCACTGTGTTTGGTAACTTGCCATACCATAGCCAGCCTGATTAGGTATTACAGGAGCAGCTTGTCCCTGGGCAGGCTGAGCAGCAAATCCACTCATCCAGGTGGCAGATGGGGTTTGACTAGTTGAAGAGGAAAAGAAAATCGTGATTATTCTCATCTGTTCCAATTTTAAGCACAAGAGAAACAAACAATATCCACTGCTACATGATGAAAATTAATCCTTTGCATTCCTTTAATCATGACAGAAATATTACTTTTATTAATGAATTTATACAGCATTTCCCAGAACTACCTCTCAAAACAGACTAGCTAGCAGGATTTTTTTTCCCCACTGCCTTTGGTAAACAATTTATTCAGAAGAGTAACTGAAAGCTACAGTAGTATACTGGGTAAGGTACAGACTCGGATTCAATTTTTGCATCTCATCTTAGAGTGCTGTTATTGTAAGAATTAACAAACAATTATTCCATGGATGCCACATGAAACGTAGAGTGGGGTAAACTGCAATTCAAAATGTTTACTTCATTATAACAAATTTAGCTATGACAATTCGAATTATAAACAGCTAGATTAAGCTGTAGTAGTCAGGTATTTGCATTTTCATCTTTGATTCAACAGAACACAACTCACTGAACTTATTGAGAAATATGTGCATGTTAAACTAGTGCAACCCATTTTGTTTAGATTATGGCTGTATTCACACAGAGTGTGCAAATCTATAGTTCACTGCTGCTCGTTCACATAGCATTATAATTAATGCTACTCTATCAGTCTCCCTCCAAAAGTTCATACTTAGATGAAAATTAACACTTTACTTTAGAAACAAAAACAAGTATTTGTCTTAACCAAGAATAATACCAAATGAGGCACAAGCAAAGATCAGAGTTCACACCTCAGGAGAATTATATATGTAAATACCAATTTCTGAACTGAACTACTTACTCAACGCCAAACCCTTGCTGATTCCATGCTTGACCATACATTCCATATGGTGGCACTTGCCATCCATTTGTCATATATTGCCCATATTGTTGTGGATTCCCATAAACTTGACTCCATTGCCCCCACTGACTGTAATCCACCTATGGATTTAAAATGATTGTTTTAGATAAACAGAAAGATTGAATATTAATTAGTATGTGCTTACTACAAAAATGGAGAAAAAGCCAAAAGTACTAAGTTCTATGTCTAAAATTAAATTCCATGTAGGATTTTAGTGCATAGGATTCCATGCACTGATTTCACTGATTTGGACAAATGCACAGAGAGGATATAGGAAACACAACATTCTACTGCTAACCCACCAATTACCTGCTGGAAGTTTTTTGTTGTATCTGGTGATTCTTTACCCCAGTAGCATTTAACAACATGGCCTTCAATTGTAGTTCCATTGACTGAAACAATAGCATGTGCTGCACTTTCATGAGTTGAAAACCTGAGGAAAAAACGTGGGTATGAAGTGAAATGTTACTAGCTAAGTCCTGCTCAAAATACTGTAGGATTAGACTTATAAGAATGAAACAATTCATTTATCAATATAGTTTACTTTATCAGGAGAAAATACACAGGGGAAGACACAGTAAAAGGCTATCAGCTAATGTTTATCACCAAATGTGACATATGTACTATCAACATTCATGGAACTTAACACAAATATGTCCTTTCTTGAGGAATATACAAAGTAAATTTCAACAGTGAGAACGTAATTGCTTCAGTATATGTAGTTATCTGCGAGTAATCATCCAGCGAGACTAAGTTCAGTCTTTAAGGAATCAATATATTTAAATTCTTGAAAACATAATTAGGTATGCCACTTACTTTTAAATCTTATTATAATTCCATAATTTATTTTAAGGCTCCACTTCTCTTTCTTTTTAACATATATGATTTGGGCAATATTTTCCATATTTTATTCTGTAAACACTTTATTTAAAATATTTCTACCCCATACTTTAGCCAAAAGCTTCCAGAGTGGTATACAGATGAACAAAATGGGACAGTTCCTGGCCTCAAGCTTATAATCTACAAAGACACAAACTTAAAAGAAAAATAAAAGGATGGAGAAAAAAAAACTCACCAGAAACAAGAAACCTCTGGCATAATTTTTTTTAATGTTATATAGATATTATGATTGAAAGTAATCTAGATGTATTGCTGCAATGGCTAAAATGTAGTTTGGTGTTGCCAACATTGTACTATGTTAAGATCAGAGCAAATAATAATAATTCTCCTACCTCACAAAAGAATAGCCTTTAACTGGAAAAGCTCTCGTTTCCATAATTTGCCCAAAAGGTGAGAATGTCTGTCTCATCAACTGATCTAAAAACAGTAACATTTGTGTTAGTCATGTGAGCATTCAGTGGTTCACTAAAAACGTTGCAAAGATTAATGTGATTCCTACCTGTTAATCCAGAGGCAATTCCTCCACAATAGACAGTACAGTTTTTGGGGCTTGACTGATTTACTACATCCTCAAATCTCAGTTGTTTTGTGTTGTCTGCAAAATACAACTCTTTCAATAACTTTTTTTCAGTTATTTCCATTTAACGAATGTACAACATGTCACAATATAGTAAAGAATAATATACAATCAGAGTATAATTTATTATATGATGCTAGCATTTCCTTACAAGGAGAGCTGCCTACTATATTTGGATGTAATCATGTAAGCTAGAAAGTCGCTACATTCAACACTTTTCTAAGTCATCAAATCATGATTTGGTAGTTCATTCAAACTTCATAACTAAGATATTTTAAGTATATGTATTAACAAAACACTGAAAACTTTTAAACACAGCATAAGGAACAACAAAATCAAGAGTGAACCGAAATGAACAGGAGTAGGCATTATCTCATGGCAATAAGGGTGGCAAAACATCAGGGAAGAGGGTCCCCTGTCATGTAGAGGGCTAACTGGCAGCCCTATTTAAGTTGGCCCAGGCCCTCTTGGGTAAGGAAGAACCAGGGAAATATTTGCAGGGTCACTATGAATACTATTCTAAGAACCTGTCAAATTAAGTTGCTTGGTTTCACTTGTAGTTGGATTCCAGTTGTACAGGTCTATGGAGCTGCTTGAGGATGGTCTTGCCTAGTTATCTGAGAGGAGTTTGAATCTGTTAATCCTGATAAAGCGATCAGGGTCCTTGAAGCTGTAACAGGGCCACCTGTATTTTTAATCCATAACTCTTCTGCTTGGTCATGGCCTCCAGAAAGTGAGGCAGTTGAGTCCAAGTGGTGGTTAATACAACAGTGCTTACACCTGCTTTGAAAGAAGCAGTTGTCTACTCTCTCAAGAAGACATCACTGGAGCCAATGGAACTGGACAATTTTTACCCAGCCTCCATCTTTCTTTTTTTAGGGAAGGTGTCTGAAAAGATGGCCAGTTTGCAGCCTTGGAAGAACTGGATTATTTGGACCCTTTTCAACTGGGGTTCAGATCTGGTTATAGCAATGAGATGGCATTGATCACACTTGTTGATGACCTTTGGCAGTACTAGGATGGGGGCAGTGGATCCATTCTGGTTCTCCTTGATCTCTCAGCAATGTTCCATTGATCACAGTATCTTTCTGAACTGGCTCAGGGTGTTAGTAGGAGGCATGGTATTAAGATTGTTCTCTTTCTCCAGGACTGGTTCCAGTCAGTGTGCACGTGGGGCAGGGAGGGGGAGAGATCAAGCCCAAGACCTCTGCTTTGTGGGGTACCTCAGGGCTCTACCTATTCCTTGCTCCTATCTAACATCTATGTGAAGCTCTGGGTGAAGTCATCCAGCAACATGGGGTGAGGTACCATTAGTATGCTGATGATAGCCAAGATATATCTCTGTCCAAGACTGACCAAGTGATGCCATCAAGATTATTTCCCAATATCTGGAGATTCTGGAGGTTGTGGGGGGTCTGGTTTGGGAAGAATAGGCTTTGGCTCAACGCTGGCAAAACTGAATGGCTGTGGTTTTGAGGCCTCTCAGATCAGGAGACTTTTCATCTTTAACTCTGAATGAGGTTGCATTCCCCACAGTTGGTGTGCAACTTGGAGATCCTCATGTATTCACAGCTCCTACTCAAGGACCAGGTGGCAGTGATGGCTAGGATGATCTTTGCACAAGTTTATTTTGGTGCCAACTGTGTCTGTTTCTCAGTTGGGAGGCCCTGCTCATGGTAACTTCTGGTTGCAATTCAAGATGCTAGTTATCACCTATGGAGGTTAGGGCCAGGTTATTTTTTTTGGATCACTTGTCTTTGTTTCTCCATGGCCCGCCAGAATCAACAAGGTGGGCATCCTTTGGGTCCTTTTCATTAAGTATTGCCATCTTGTGGGTCCCTTTTCTGTTCTGGCACCAGGCTGCGCAGAAGCATCCCCCAAGATATCTAGATGGCCTTTTGTAAAGCAGTGAGCTAAACTAAACACCTGGTTGTTCCTCAGGTGTTTGGGCTGGAGTGTTAGGTGAGCCCCGTTGGTTGGTTAATTTTTGTTTCTTACTGAATGCAAGAAGAAAATATCTATTTGGATCTCTGACACATAATTAATTTGCTTGCTGATTTTAATTTCTTGTTAGCTGCCCAGAGTCACAGTAACGTGATGGGCAAGCATATAAATTGTTCAAACAAACAAACAATCAATGAAACAATATATCCATAGGAGTAAATATTACAAAAACCATCTATGGAACTGTACATACATTTGTAATATCAAAAAGAGATACAAAATATTAAACATTCATATTCAACATTGTTGTTAAAAATTTATATAGACAGAAACAATCTATTAGAAATCACTCTGTGAATATAAATAAAAAAATGGAATTTCATCTTTGCTCAAATTCACAAATTCACTTACTTTCTTGTGTACTTTTAGGGGCAGGTGGCTTTCGTGTTGCCCAGTTAGTTCTGATCTGGCGACCTCCTAACCACTGGCCTCCCATATGTACAATTGCATTTTCTGCATCCTGATAAAAAATATATGGATTAGTCACAACTGTTGAAATTAGAGAATTAAAACATACATTCTGTTTTGTCTTTTGCACTGAAAATATAAAAATTATCAATTTAGGTATGAATGGCTTTTCTGAAAAATTAATGTTAAGGGAATTAATACTTACATTAAATGAAGAAGACAGGACCTGTGGCTTTCAGATGCTGCTGAATTTCAGCTTCCAATAGCTCTCACTATTGGCCATACTGGTTGGGGCTGCTGAGAATTGTGGTTCAGCAACATCTGGAAGGCCACAAATATTCTACTTCATTTGGAGAACTCTGAATGTGTTTAAGACACTTTTAGGTAGAGATTGACAGTATACCACTCTTATATCCCAGTATAGCTCTCCTCACTTGCAGAAGAAGTATCTGCCATGTTGGCTCCAAGCCACTGCAAAAGATACTCAATTTACTAGTAAAATTAAAGACAAGCATATTTTTGTCTCTTGTCTAAAGAATCAACATGGAATTCCTGGGCCACATAATTACAGCTATAAAAAATTCTGCCCTTCACACAACCAATGGGTTATAGAAGAGGGCTATGCACTGATATCCTGGAAATGCATGCCCTGTTTGTATTGCATCCTCCATAAATTTTTATTTTACTAACTTAGGCTCACAAAATATGAAGCAATGATTTACATTTTTTAATGTACTCACCAGTTTATTATAAAATGATACAAAACCATATCCTTTTGATTTTCCTGTTGTCATATCTTTAACTACCCTTGCATCCCTGGGAAGAGAAGCACAGTTATATGAGGAAAATATTACAGATATTCAAAATAAAAACTAAAAGGAACCACACACACTGTATTGTGAGCATAGTTTTCTCTATTATAAACTCAGTAACCCCTATCTATAACCATTCCTAATTCTCCCTAACACTTCTTTACCTGTTAGAAAAAAGCAGTAGGACAAAAATAAAAAATAACATGTAATAAACATGCAACCTATCCATATATCCTGCACTTTCTACAACTAAATCGTTCAAATTTGAAAATTTAAAAGGAACAGAGTTTCCTTTTCTAATTATCTATTGACTAGGGTCTTCTAAGGTTTACTGATCTATAAATTACTGTAACATTTCTAACTAAGTTTACCATGCATTTTCTAAATAAATGCCCTCTGCCTAGTGATATAAAATATGAAATATTAAAAAATTGAAAAAGAGGAAAAAAATAGGAATTAAAAGGCATACATGGCCTGTTAACAGATTTCTTTATTTTTCTTGGTCAATTCTCTACCATCATTTTGGAGTTTGGGCAGCTGTAAATTTTGAAAAATTGACATTTTCAGAAATTTAAGAAAGGAGAATATAACTAACAACAATGCTAAGTTCACCAATATGAAAACAACAAATTTTACACATAAATTTTAGTGAGTAAGTTAAAATGATTGGAAATATAGAACTGCACTGAATATAGAATGTTAAAATGTAAATACTAAGATATGTATATATAAATAATGTATAATAAGAATAAATAGAAATGAGAAAAAAATCTACAACTGAGTTCCAGTGTGCACAGTTCCTTGCAGTTAGCTTCAAGATCCTGTCCATTCTTATGAGCAATTCTGCAAAATAATCAGAATGCTATTACTTTTAATTGTGACTTGGACTTTAGAAAAACTGCAGGTCTCAGGTATAAATCAAGATTGAGAAATAGCAACCTGTATTAAATCTTTTAATATTGGCTTGCAAACAGTACCAGTACTTACCACATTGAGATAAAAAGCAAAGTAAATCAAACAGACAAAATAAGGTTTTGTTGCATTTGAAAATATGAGAAAACATAGAGAAAATATGTTTTATAGCAGAAATATATTCCTGTAAAGTAACACAAGATGTTCAGGTTTTGTTTAGATGTTGTGAAAAAGACAAAGAAAACAATAGGAGAAAGCTTTTCAAGAAACTAGATTAAATAACAAAAGAAACACACATGCTATAACACTTAAGGGAGCACTTGCAAAGTTTAAAATGTTCATTTACAAAGCTATAGATATTTGGAAATTTAGTCCCAAGGTTCTGCTGTCAACAGAGAAAGATATTTTTTGACTGGCATAATTAATGCATCATTAAAATACTTAAAAGCTTATCAAAAGATACGAATTTTAATTTTCAAATTCAAAAATCCTAAATTTAATGCTACATTTCAAAAATGCAATCAATGAAATTTTATAACTGGCTATGTTAACTTACACACAGTCCAACACTACCTATATAATTATCAGCTACCTCCAGCTTCTATCAGACAACCTTCTATGAGCCACAAGAATCAACAAGTTTGCTTTCATTTGCCCACAAACATCCCAGCCCATAAAATACATACTGATTTGCAAGTGTGAAAAGCACACAGTTTTCAACAGAAGTGATGCAGAAACCTTGTTCATACTTGTGTGGAATAATATAATGCAATAAAAGGACAAGTAAATTCTACACCATTCACTTGCCATTATGTAAACAATTCTACACATAATGAATGACACTGACTTAAGAGAAGAACAATCTTGCATTTTGATTCTTTTTGTATTAACGATTTAAGGTAAAAGTACAGGTACTTACGATATTTTACCAAAAGGAGCAAATGCTGACTTAATATCTTCTGTTGTTATTTCTGGACTTAAATCTCCCACAAACACATGAAAGTGATCTGGAAGAAAAAAAAAGTACAATGCATTGCTGTAACTTTCTTATACTGCCAAAATAAAGCAATGAATGCAATTCAACTGAATACTTGGCTTAGATAGTTATTTCAGAACATATTACTTACTTGAAGTATCTTTTTTTTGGCTACTTGGTGTTGTTGCCCAGTTAACTTTTACTTCCTGAAAATAATGAAAAAAATCAGTACTGGCATAATTCTTACATCAACCAAGAGACAGTATAGGCTCAATTCCAACAAAACAAGTGTCTTCTCTTTATAGAAACACTGTTTCAAGGTCCTTTAATTAAAAACAGGGACAAAAATCTTTGCCACGAATCATAAATAACCTATTTACTTAATTTGCTACGTCATTCTTTTTTCTTGCTTTTTTTTTTAATGCAACGTACCTTTCCCAAAATTTTTCTCCCATTCATAGCAGCTAATGCAGCAGCTGCATCCCTGTGTTCATAAAATTCCACAAAGCAATAAGGGTCATTGCTTGTATGCTGCAAAACAGAAAATCCAACAGAAGAGTTGACCCTTCTGCTATCGGGTTGCTGAGAAGAAAATCCAGGAAAATAAATTACTTAAAGCTAGAAAAGAAAATATTACTGTAATTGCTTACAAAATAGCTGTAAGAATTGTTGTCTACTCTGTCAAAAGAATGTCTCAAATTATAACATCCACAAAATTGCATTTGTTGCCCCTTCTAGAGGCCATTGTGTATGAAAGTGCAGGTTCAATTCAGAAGAGTCTTTCTTGCAAATATATTACACTGCTTACTGATAACATGACTAATTAATTACACACTTGGAACAAAGAAGTCTAACTGCAGCACTTAAGTTCCTAACTGGAATTAATTATCAACAAATAAACTGTTGAAGCTGTCAAAACGAATGCTGCAGCCTTCATGAACTGGATACAGAAGACACTTGGGATAAGATTACATCTCCTATGTTAGGTTATATGTATGTATGCTTCAAAAATTGTTCATTCCTTCGTGTAAATGTTACAAACAGAATTATGTAAGTTTTGAAGGAAAAAAGAGCTTGCTGATAATTGGAGCCATTTCCTTTGCATACATGTTCAGCTCCAAGTACTTACCAATTTCAAAGCCCAGATTTGGGAGGATGTGTGTGATCTTTTCAGGTTTTACAAGGCATTAAAGGCAAGAATGTGGGTTAGAAAATTACAGCAAAATGCAAGAAATCATTTAAAATTATTTGCTTTTTAGCTTCATATTTTAATAAATCAGGTTACACATATAGATATATTACATTTCATAAATAAATAATAAAAATACAAAATAAATGCTATCAGTTAGCTACTGGTAACTGCTAAGAAAGAAATAAAAGGCCTAAGTCTTTATTATTTCAAGCATACAAAAATCACTGTTATGCTCTAAATATCCAAACTACAGAGAAAAGTTAATCATAGAGCAATGTTTGCTAATCTGGCAAACAACATAATTCATGTACCCACAAAAGCATTCTGGTCTAAATTTCTAATGAACCAATGACTATAGTTGTTTTATTGATAATAAGTATGAAGCCCTTTGAAACTGCTATTCAAAAAATCAGAATATGAATTTGGAATTAAGATCAGGAATATCCTTCCTTTGATCTACCATGTACACAAGACAAATTGTTATCAGTATTGAGAAAACTGTGGTAAAACTTTTCCAGTTGTTCACTGTTACTATATTTTAACTGGTTTTTTCCCTTATTTACCTTTGATGCACTAAAAGTCAGTAAGAAGGAATGTCCTTGCTTACATTAATATGCTACAGTAAAAGTTTTTTTAAAGTGTACTGAAGAGTGATGACATGGAATTGGAAGTACAACACTAAGAATGAAATTGACAAAAATTGTCTGAATTCTAGGGTGTTGATATAAATAGGAAGTAAAGGATACATCAGCCCCTGCATCAAGAATTTTTAAGCTTTGGGGAGAGTTCAGACATCACATTTAGCTAAAAGTGAACAACTTATGATTTCAGTTGATGTGAGAACCAGCCAATGGATATAAATTAGTAGAATTTGATCAAGCTGATTATTTTCAATTGATTTAAGTTGCAAGTATCAGTATTAGACTGTGTCTGTTGTAATTCAATACATTTATAAATATTCAGTTCATAATATTAAATATTAAATAATTAAATATTATTAGGACAAACAGGCCTTTATGATTTAAAAATAAATTCCAGTGCTTGGAATAGAACCTTTCCTTCCAGCTACTAAAATCAGAAAGGAGGAATATCATACAGCTCCTAGATTTTACAGCCCCAGTTTCTTAGCAGTTCAAAAGAACTTAATTTCAAATGGCCATATATATATTCCCACAAAATCAGCATTCAATAAAGGAAGAAGAAAGGAAAGAAAAAGAGCAGATTGTAAATTTTTACTACTGAAAATGCTAATTTCTACTTCTTTATGCACAATTTTGGAAAACCCAGACACTACCAACAATACAAGAATGGTTGTTAAAACTGATGGAAATGGCAGAAAATGATAAACTGACTTGCTTACCCACACAACTATTACCAGAAGAATGGAAACCATGGATGGACTATTTGCAAAATGGAGGGGCGGTGAGGCTTAAATGGGGTTTTGAAGATTGCTTTTTAAATGTAATGGGTTATGTCTTGTGAA